AGAGAGAAGGGATGGAAATCAGCGCTTCTGTCCTCCTTTTGGTTCACCCAAGTGCTTCAGTATGTCCAACAAGGAATATGCAGCCCTGAAGATTATGTCATGTAGTTTACACATGCAATGATAATCCCACATTTGGAAGATCAAATTCTGTATTCTGTATACGGTGCTTTCTACTCTCTTTCAGGAAGAAATATCCTACTGATAGGATACTTCCTTAAAAGTCAATACCTCCTTAATACCTTCAAAAGTCAATATCTTCCTTAAAAATCAATCCCAAGTCCCTTATGTTCTGGAATAATTCATAAAACTCACTGCAATGACTATCCTCAAAAATGGATTGTCAATCTGAATTATTTCATCCTGTCGACTAACACAATCATTTAACAGTGCCCCCTTCTCATAGGACAGCTGAATAGCATAATGCCTGTTGGAGCCCATGCAGATGCTTAATGGAGCTGATCAAAGATGCCTAGTGAATTCACTCCAATGCATTCACGACCTTTCAGCTTGCCAGAGGAACAAGCAGTTCCAAGCTCATTACGATCCACACCCCAGAGCTGTGAAAGACCATGTTTACTACATGAAAAAGTCACCACAAAAGACTTCTTCATCATCTCATTATCTCCGATACAAATTTGGAAGACTTCAAACAATGATAGAAAAGGGAGTGGAGGTACTGAGCCAGAGCCAGAACATGGTGGTGTGACACATTCTCTCTCGCACTCTTAGACAGCCCCTGTGCTGCCCTAAGCCCCCCCAGTTCCCTACTGCAAACAAACCACACAGCAGCTCGCTCTTCCCTGTCCTGTCATGCTCTGTCTCCCATGGAAGGAGCTCAGCAGAGGGGTACGTAACCTCTGTGGCTAGCAAACCCTCTTGGGCACTACACTGACAGTTTCAAGGAGGAAGCAGTTGAGTTTAAGATGGATTGAACTCAATCTTCCTGGAGCTTGAGCTTCATTCAGCAAAGGACTGGCAGGGAGCAGGCTACCAAGAGCTATCAGGGACCAGCTCAAACATCAGCAGCTTCAGGGCTACTCTGAACTTCAGCTGCGGTGGCGGAGTAAAACTGCCTTACACCCTTCTGTAAGGAGTAAAACTGTAAGGAGTAAAACTGCCTTACACCCTTCTCCGTCTCCACCAGCCCGTGAGATACAAAGGACAACACAACCACATTCTGGGCTAGCTGAAAGCTTAAGAGACAGGGACGGAGCAGACAGGGACGGAGCAGACAGGGAGAGGACGGTCCTTGCAGAGCCAGAAGAATGCTCTCCCTTCCTGCCTGCTCCCCTGTGTACGACACTGGTTACCTTGGAAAAGCAAACCTGAGGGAAGCGAAATGTGACAGCCAACTGCAAGATGCTGTCGGGAAACCCATCAGCAACACTGAAAATTGAAAAGATCACCGTGAACAGAACAGGAACACTATACTGGGAAGCTCTGCAGTCAAAGATATCATCCAAGACCTCCCTTCACCTTTTGAGGGTTTACAACTCCTGGTCAACACAACTAGGTAAAAAGATACTTGGCCAAATCTAAAGCAAGAGATGGGAGAGCTGTTTATGACAATCACAATTTTGTCGCTGACTTTAGAGCCAGCATTTCGCCTCTTCTGTACCAATTCCCCACAGCATTCAGTACGCACTCCTGAATGGACACAGCTATCACTCGCTTGGATTAAATACCTCTGTTTTATGGGCATCACTGTGAATGGGAAAGATATCTACCTTTTTCCAGCTGGGCACTACATCCCTCAAGTGCTTGGATTAAATACCTCTATTTTATGGGCATCACTGCGAATGGGAAAGATATCTGCCTTTTTCCAGCTGGGCACTACATCCCTCAAGCCTGCACACATGCCAAGACACTGTGGTAAGCAACCACTGGAAACAACCTTCTGCCGCCTAGAGACAAAGACGTCAAATATAATAAGAAGGCGGGGGGCTACAATTTTCTTTAATGAAAAAAGGGGGAAAAATAACTGTGCTACATGCTGAACCAATAAGATCAGAACAGAGATGTGTAGGGAATGCTCGGGCACGACAGAAAAAAAAAGACTGCCTTGGAATATTTTGCTGTTTACAGTCATACAACTCGCCAAGGAAAATATGAGTGTGCACAGACTGATACTGTACTTACGCTGCTGCAGGTTTCAGTCCCAGCCTTCAGCACTCCCCCAGCTGCATCTGTCCTTTCTCAGAGGGCAGAGCTGGGCACAGAGTGACCCACGGATGCCATGGAGCAGTCTGGCCCTTGGGCTGCTGAGGTGTCTTCTGTCAAGCTAAGGTCTTGCCAATGTAAGAAGGTTTTACTACTTTGAATAGTACAAGTAAATCAATATTGCTACAGCGGCATAGAATCACCTAGAGGAATGCTTGCTCCAGACTAAAAGCATTTTCTAAATTTGGTTTAAATCTCTTCCAACGTGATACAAACAATGCACTTCTCTGTCAGAATAAAAGTGTCCAGATAAGGAACTATTTAAATTCATATGTTTCCCACTAATCTCTTTTTATGCCTCAGTTTCTCATACTAACCTTGCTGCTTAAAGATAAAAACATGAGATTTGAGGCATTTGGTAACATATTTAATAAAAATCTAGCTTTTACACAGGCTTTCCAACAGTAGGTCTCCAAGTATTTAAAAAAGCAGATTATTGCTGTTTTGAAGACGGAGAGCTGAGTACCTGAGGTCACTTGGCCAATACTACCCAGTAAATAAGAGACTCGACAATAAAACCCATTCACGGCACAAGGTGGCTCCCTCCAGAGCTAGGGTTTCTCCTCATCCTCAAGATGGGATGGAAATGGGTCAAAGTGGCAGGAAATAGAGAAGAAAACCCAGAACATCATGCGCCAGCATCATTGCCACAACAGCCAGGCCCAAGGCAACACTCAGCAGTGAATTCCCGTCCTTGCCAATACCTGATCGCCCTTAACAGGCCATCTGCTCTCCTGGCATGAGCACCCCTCCCAGTCTAGGCTCATGGATCTCCAGGGTGATGGGTCATCCCCTGGTACTTTTTGGCCCAAACTGTAAAACAAACCCTGAGGAGGAGACAAATGGAAAGAGCAGCTTCAATTTAACTAAATCCAGGCATCCCAGCCCAACATTTGAGCTTGGCAACACAAGTATTAACAGTCTTTTGCACCTTAAATGAGACCAAGGCTGGTGGCTGTGGCATGAAGGGGGATATTTCAGCACCCATACAGTCTCTGAAGACCCAAAACAGGTTGTGAAAGCCATCCCAACACACTCCTGTGCACAGCAGGAAACAATCAATCTTCTAAGCCCCTAATGAAAATGAAAGCACCTTCTTTCCATGGGGTAAGCAGTAGCAGTTTAAACCACAATAACAGTTCCAGTGACCACAGTGTCCTAATTTATTGGATTTCACATGTCTGTAAAAGCTATTTTTTCAGTGTTTCTCCCCCTCTTGCCTGAGCCTAAAGGACAGAGACGTTCCCCAGGAACAAAACTAGCACTATTCAACCGAAACAAGCAGCCTAGAAATTACAAGCAGACTTTGTTAGCCCATTTGTTTCATTCCTGTAAGCAGCACTAACCTCTCCTCTCCCATGCTCTGCTCCAGCAGCCTGAGGAGCCCGAACGGAGGGAGAACACACGAGGCAGGAAGCTCATTTTATGGTGCTGGCGGACAGGCAGGTCGCAACTGGCAGCCCATTACAGGAGACTTGTGAAAGAGATTAAAGAGCCCAGCACATTCAGAGTCTCCTGACCTTCCAAAAGTGAGCGCAGAGGGGTTTTTGGTACAGAAAATCCACCGTTTTTCAGGGTGCAGCTGTTTTTCCAGGAAGACTGGTCCCTGGAAATTATGCTTAAGAATTGGGACGGCAAAGAGCAACACCCTACTGCAAAATATTGAGCCGTGTATCCTGCCTGCTCTGTGGGAGGAAGGGGACATGCAGAGAAGGATCAGGATCAGGAAGGGGCGGCAAATAGCAGCAGAGGTAGGAGGAAAATGCTCCACTAACAAGTTCTGTTGGCCAAGAGTCAGGGGGGTGCTCCTCTGCAGTGGCTGAGGTCAGGTATGACAAAACTTTTGGCTCTGTCTCACAGCTGGGAAACACAGAGAGGAGATGGGGAAAAATAATCCAGTTGAATGGATTTCACATTGCCTGAAGGAGAAGTTCAATGAAAGAAGCAAGATGAAGCTCGAAGAGGTGTTGGAGAAGAAGCATACAAGCAGATGCTTTGCGCTAAGCAAGATCCAGGTGTTCTGTGCTCTCCTGTCCCCAACCCAAGCAGAGCTTTGCAGTAGTTCCACCGTTTGTCCCCACTGCACTTGGCGAAGCTGAGTTCGAGAGGGAACTGAGACAGAGAGATGAAATCTGATTTATCCCAGATAACACCGAGAAGTCCGAAGCTGAGCCAGTAACTAAATCTCTATCTTGGAGATCCTACAATAGTGCCTGAATTCCTGTTCATCCACGCTCCCTCCAAAGGGCA